AAAGAGGCAACGGCGATAGCAGATGGAATCAGAGGGGTGGGGGCTTCAGAGGGGGATCCTTTGGATCCCGGTTTTCGCCTACGGCCCCAGCCCGGCTACCATAGCATGAAAAAGCAAGAGCCTTTGACCCCTTCCTAGCTGCGCCAATTTTTGCCTTTGGTTGGGGATCCTATGGATCCCCCCGTATGCCTTAAACATATGAAGTTCCCCCTGTTTATGCTTGGTATGCTTGGTAGCAAGCATAGCAACCATAGCAACCATAGCAGGGGAAGGCCCTTGACTACGAGACCCAGCCCGTGTTGGCGGACTGGCTTGATGACTAGTCGTGGTAAATTGGTTTAAGGGACTCAACGAATGGGAGTAGTTTCTGAAGGGTTGCTAGCAAGAGGTTCAAAGCTTATCGCCGGAGGAAATCGGTTGATAACCCACGCCTTGCTACCATGGCCCTTCCCTTATCGCGTAGTAAAAAAGGGAGGTGGAAGCGGTAGAAGGCCCCAAGGGGCCGGGGAATTGGGAGGGATAGAAGGAGTGAATTAGATTGATTAAGGGAAGGTTACGTGAGGAAAATGGTAGCCCTGCTGTTTTTAAACAACAGTGCCAAGTGCGTGTGGGTTCGAATCCCACCGTAACCAGCTTAATCGGTATCCTTAAGCGAGTGGTCCCCTTTCTAATACCTGCTTATCTAATTGACCTCTTAAGACTCCCCTTCCATCCCAAGTGCCTTCTAAATTGATCTGGTCTTTCTTTGCTCAACGGGGGCTGAGCCAATCCTACCTCCACGGGTTAGGTGGAGATTCCTATTGTCATTTCCTTCTAACTAAAAGGCCATCTGCTCCTTACCTATTTCGATAACAAGAATCTTCTTGGCCCTCCCTTTTTAAGTAGAATCTGTCCTATCTCCTGCCTGAAAGTAGTCTTTACTAAGGCAACTCTTTCTTTTGGATTAAAAGAGCCTTTTGCAGCGCAGCTGCACTTAACTATCCTTTCTTCTTCCAATGTAAGGAAAAAATCACCTTGTTTAAGATTAAGAGAGGAGTGAAAGGTTGAAGGTGATGGTTAACTCGTTGATTTAACCAAGTTGCTCCTTAATCTCCACATGCCTTCTCTCTTTAGCAGTGTAAACTGCAGTCACAGAGGGCTATTCCCTTCCTCTTAGCTAGAGTAGTAGCCGTCTTTTGTTGTGCAAAGGGGGCTTTACCCCCTACCCTAGCCAAACTCACTCCTAAGATTTTACCCTTATTTTACCTTTGCTTATTAATCCAAGGAGTTGAGCCACTTGGTTATTGAATACCCAATGGTTGAAGATAGGTTAGAACAATCAATAACTAGAGCTGTACATTGGGTAGCAGGGGATTGAAACAATTTCAATCAGATAGGACAAGAAAAAAAGGCAAGCCCCAAAGGGGAATTTTGGATAACAGGGGGTTCACCACCCCCCCAATAATAAACGAATATGAAAAGGAATACCCATATTACATCAACGAAATCACCATGGCTTTTCCTTTTGGAAAAGGGTGGACTATATCTTATAGCAGCCCGCCTTAATTAACGTATAGTCTCTGAGGATTCCTTACACACTGGTTTAAGGGTAACCTGCGGGTTGTCCTTGTCCAACTCCAATCTTTAGCCTTTTTAGGCTTACCCTAGCTAAAGGAGTCAGGAGATTCCTGCATATAGTTAATTTGAATTCAAGCTCTTAGGAGTGAGCTAGAACGGCATTTCAGTTTGCCAGTAAAGTATAGCCCCTTCATAACCAACGTGATGGTGGTTTGTCAAATGATAGTTAATTAACCGAAATAAAGCAACAGTAAGGAAGATAGAACCAATTATCACGTGCCCGCCGTGGAAGCCAGTAGAAAAGAAGAAGCATGTGCCAAATGCACCATCGCTAATCGTGAACCCTGCATTATAGTACTCATATGCTTGAATTCCTGTAAAAATTACAGCAAAGATAAGAGTAACTACCAGACCAAGTATCGACCCTTTACGGTCCCCAGCAATAAGAGCATGGTGAGACCAAGTTACAGAAGCCCCCGAAGATAAAAGCAGAATAGTGTTAAGAAGAGGCAACTCAAAAGGGTAAATAGGCTCGATACCTGCGGGTGGCCAAGCACAACCAAGCTCCACAGTAGGAGCTAAGGCAGAATCAAAGAATGCCCAGAAAATGGATAAGAAGAAGAATATCTCGCTCACGATAAATAGAATGATTCCCAATGATAGCCCTCGTTGCACTGGCTTCGTATGGTGACCCTGGAATGTGCCTTCCGCTATGCAATCCCGCCACCATAGCCCCATAGTAGTGAGGGTACCGATAACTCCTAAGGTTAAAAAGAGTCCAGCGTTGGCTACCCCATGGAAGCTCATCACCCCAGAG